GCTTCGAGGTCTATCAGTTTCGAGAGTTGATATCCAGTCGTTAGACCCTGATGTTACGAGTTCCGTGCTAATGTTTTTGGAATGATTTTATATCAATTTTTATTTTTAGATTTTGTGGTTTGTGTTAAACATCGTATGTGATTTGAATAAAATTTGACTTTTGACGCAGTGTATGAAAATAAGATTTTTTAATTATTATTTTCATGTATGGATTTTGATGTTCATAGTTATCCCCAAAACACCTGCGTAACGAATTGTAGTATAATTGTCCACGAAAAAAAAATATGTGATATAATTTATTGAGATGATATGTTTAATAACCATATTTTTGGGAGAATATTCATTTTCTAAGAAATATAACGATAGTCTTTTCGAATTTCATAAAAACATTAGGATAATATATTCGTTGTAATGTAGAGGTATATTTTTAGGATTAACTCTGCATATTTGGAGTAATAAATAATTATTAATAGATCCGCGTTATTGTAATGTAGAAGTATTTCAATAGTATTTTAACATTATCAAGAAAAATGTAAATTTTCGATGTTGGAGTATTATGGTTCATTAGAGAAGATAGGCATATTATCGCGAAGAATAAGTAATGTTAACATTATCGTGAGGTTTTCTATTTCGAAATTCTTTTTATTACCAAAATCTTATTTTATTATGAGAAGCTAAAATGTATATTTTGCATTATCGCGCAATATAATATTATATATATATAGTTTGTTAATGACTGTGTATTTAGATCACACATTTTTTTTTCTGTGTTCGTGCTATTCACCAGAAAAAATGAAACGTAAGCTTGGGCGTCCTCAGAAAAAAGGTTCATCTTCGTCGATTGCTCCGAATAAAAGTGTTATTTTAAGTAAATTATATTTTTAAAACATTCACGTGTTATAAATTTGCTTACTATTAACTGGAATTTGTAGGTGGTAATGCTAAGAACGCACGATATGCTCGTACCAGTGTAACCGATATTGACCAACTTGGAGGTTTGTTTCGTTACAATATCAATGAAGTTCCTAATCTAACACCCCAGGGAATTCGTAATGCACAGCAGAGAAGAATGCATATCATGCGTGAGAGGAGAAAAAAAGAAGAAGCTATTGGTTTGATCTTCTTTTCTGCTTAATAATTATATGCCTGATTTACACTTATTATTTTTTCCGTTAAAAAACAAACAGATCTTTTGGCTACTTCTATCAACACCGAAGAGTTTGCTTGCTTTATTGCTACTGATTCTGAGTCCGGTAGGGATAATGATGAAGACTTTATGTCGGAAAGTGAGTATATGGAAAAATCGAGGCCTGGTAATAAAAAGAAAGGAAGACCAAAAAAACGTGCTAAATCCTCTGATTTTTGTGATGAGGATGCAACCGAGACCGTTGTTACTAGAACAGATTTATTAGAATCAGTTAGTCCTGGTCTGAAAGATGGAGGTTATGGTTTTCATTGGACTAATATATTTCATTTGATACATAATATATAACTATCGTGCAATTAATACTAAGCAATGAATATTATTCTAATCAGGTTATTACGACGATGGTGATCCTATATATATATGTGGTAATTGTAAGGCTTATATGTGGTATGGAGAAATGTTGGGTAAACGATATCGTCGTGGGAAGCCTATATTCTCCATGTGTTGTGGTCAGGGTAAAGTCGTTCTTCCACTTCTTAAAACCCCTCCGAATTCGTTATTAGCATTGATGTATAATGATGGTGATTTGCGTGATCACTTTCGTGAGTTTATCCGGGCGTATAATATGATGTTTTCTTTCACTTCTCTTGGAGGAAAAATAAATAAAGAAATCAACGACGGGAAAAGTCCTTACATTTTCCAGATGAGTGGCGAGAACTACCATTCTATAGTGGATTTGCTACCACCTCCTGGAAAAGAAGGAGCCTTTTTACAGCTATCTATATATATATGATACCGCAAATGAAACATCTAACCGAATAGCTGCTTATGGGTATGATTATTATTCTTTTGGTTTATATTTAATTTAATCATTGAGATCAATCAATTTTAAAACATATATGTATTGTTATTAAATGTTATGTGGTTCTAACTGTTATAAGAATTTATTTTAAAAATTTTATAGGAAAACGGGACCGGCTGATAAATTGCGAGAGAAGGTTGTTGAGAAAATGAAAAATATGCTAGATAAACATAACAAACATGTGGATGCATTACGAAACGTTCGAGGAAGGTTTGATCCTAACGGTGATACAAGCTGGTTAAGGATAATTTTAAAGTGTGACAGGAAAAGTGATGGAAGGACTGAGAATCTACCAGCTAATAATGAAGTTGCTGCATTGATACCTAATGATTTCGATGGTCAGGTAGATGCACGTGATATCATCATCGAGTGTAAAAAGACTGAAAATCTCAAAATGATCAGTGAACTACATCCTGCGTATCTGCCTTTGCAATATCCATTATTTTTTCCCTATGGTGAGGACGGGTTCAGACTTGGTATCGATATTGGTTTTGTAGATACCCAAGGGAGGAAAAGGTTGCATATTACTATGAGAGAGTTTTTTGCTTACCGAATACAAGAGAGGGTTGGCGAGTCACCAATCATCCCTTTATCTGGAAGATTGTTCCAGCAGTTCTTAGTGGATGCGTACACGATGATTGAGACTAATAGACTACGTTTCATATCAATGAATCAGTCTAAACTTCGTTGCAAAAATTATGACAAGATAAAGAAAATTGTTGATGAAGGTGACACTGATCTTTCTGACAAGGGTAAACGTATTATTATACCTTCTTCTTATACTGGTGGTACAAGGTATATGGTGCAACATTATCTAGATGCGATGACTACTTGCCAGCATTTTGGTTTTCCGGATCTTTTCATAACCTTTACGTGTAATCCCAAATGGCCTGAGATTACCAGGCACCTAAAAAGGCATAACTTGAAGCAAGAGGATAGGCCAGATATATGTACGCGAGTGTTCAAGATGAAACTAGATGATCTCATGCACAGACTCACCAAAGAAAATGTGTTAGGTGTCGTAAAAGCCGGTATGTTTTATTAAACTAAGTATCTTATTTTGTTTAGCAAGATAATGTCCATAACATTGCTAAATGATCATGCTAACTAATCTTTTAAAAACTACAATTTATTCATAACGTTGCAGCGATCTACACGATTGAGTTTCAAAAACGGGGACTACCTCATGCACATATCGTTCTTTTTTTAGAGGCTGGTCACAAGCTACCAACTGGTGATGACATTGATAAGGTAACATGTGCTGAGATTCCTGACAAGGATATTGATCCAGCGCTGTATGAGATAGTAGGAGATGTCATGATGCATGGACCATGTGGTGCTTTGAATAAGGATAGTGTTTGCATGGCTGAAGGAAAATGTACAAAGTAGTTTCCAAAACCTTACAGTCCGATCACTAAAATAGTTGATATTGGATATCCTATATACATGCGACGTAATGACAAGAAAGTTATCGTTAAAAAGGGTATTGAATGTGATAATGGATTTGTGGTTCCTTATAATAGGAGCCTCACACTGCTTTATAGGGCTCATATCAACGTTGAATGGTGTGTACAATCTCGATCAGTAAAGTATCTATTCAAATATATTCATAAAGGTGCTGACTACATTCGTGCAACTAACAAGAATGATGATAAAGAAAACGAGATTAAGAAACACTTCAACTGTAGGTATGTTTTAAACAGTTTGTTCACATAATTTATATCTTTGAAATTCCAATCTTCCATTATTTAATAATGTCTTTCTATATAGGTATGTGGCACCTTCGGAGTCTACGTGGAGAATTTTTGGTAATCATACTCACCATCGCACGGTTTTTGAGTTAAACTACCCTTTCATTTACCGAACCAGCAAATGGTCATATACAACGAGGATGATCCAGGTGACGAGGTTATTAATCGTGTCTCAGTTGGTACGTCAAAATTCATTGCTTGGATGGAGTGCAACGATAAGTCTGAACTGGCGAGGACGTTACTTATGCGCAACTTCCTACAGATTTGTGTGGAATAACCCCAACAGGATATGGACGCCCCGAATCAAGGAAAGTTGCTCTTGGTAAAATCACTTCGTACCCAGGTGAAGGCGTATTATTTAA